TTTGTAACTTTCTATCTCGCGGAAAAGGACGGGAGCAATACTGTGGCATTCTGGCTCAAGATTTCCAATAAATTAGCCCGGGGTTATTATTATTATTATTATTTTTTGATTCTCGTCTTTAACTTATTTCTACCTACAGAGTTGACATTTAATTAAAGGTTTTTTACTTTCTTTCAACTTGCTTTAATTTCTCTTTGCCTTGCATATCGGCCGGAACAAATCCGAGGGATTTGAAACTCGACACTGTCTCCAGGAATTTGCACAGAATTTTGACATCTCACTCATTATTTCTTTGCAAACTTTGAATTTCAACTAATATCACTTGATTGTAAAATAATACTTCAATGACCAACTGTTACATCAAAACGCAACAGGCCAGTGCACGATTTCTTTGGCATTCGAGATCAGTCTGGTTCAGGGCTATCTCTGTACAACAGTGTTTGAACTCGACGGGGGTGTTCACATCTTATCTAGAAACCGAACAGTATCATTTAGCTTCAGCTTGTACGTAGCACATATTATTAAGCTCCACCTGCCGTCCGAATTAGCCTCTTTTTCAAATCTTGTTTACTTTGCTAATTAACTTTGTCACTTTCATTAACAGTCACTGTTAGCAGTGTTTTGGGGTCAAATTCTTGGTGCTTTGGAAAGACCACCTGAGCGCCCGGCTCAACGCTCTCGGAACTCCACGCCATTTGACGTCAGTTAAACAATTTTAAGACAATATCCTACCCTCGCCTGTATAAATATAGTGTGATGATATCGCAAGAATTAAAGAGCCTTTCGGCCCTCAAAACTATAACTGAAAATGTCCAATCAACTGTAAAAGTGTTTTCATTTTAAAATAACTTCATTTTATATTTAGGAAGTTTCTGTGGTTTACATCGTGACCGGGCCCAGAAATTTCTCGTCTAAAAGCATTGAAAAGTACATCAATGGCCACTTTGTTTTACATTAACACCTTCTAGGCGAGTTGCCTTACACTATAGCGAGATGACCTGCTCTTTTCTGCCGTTTTCAGACATAGTTATTCGTGTCGCGTTTTCTTGTTGCCGTCTCACGTGACCCTTGAGTCACATGATCTAAGCAAATGGAAAGAGTGAAATCTTTTCTGATCAGTATCATTCTAACCCAGAGTAACGAAAATTAAATGAGTTTGGACGTAGTTTTTCTTCTTCCCTTGACCCACATGGACAATGCAACTTAAAAAGCTTTCAAAAATATCACAATTTATCCGTTAAGGAGGCCATTAAGATAGTCATCGGGGTTAAAACATTAACATTCTTGAAGTGATCACAGTGTTGTTGATTCATGAATAGGTTCGTCTCTAAACTGAACAAAACATTCGATGAAAACTCGTTAAGTTCAAACTACGTGTAGTAACTACACCTCAGACCAACTCGTTTTATAACATAGCCTTAGAGAAGCGCGCGTTTACCATTTCTTAATGGGTCAGGAGATTCCGAAATGAAATGGAGAAACGCATTTCTGTTTCAATTACGTTAAATTTGCTCTTGAGTGCAAGCCTAACACCTGCCATGGCCCCTTGCCAAACTGATCCTTGCTGAAGTCGAAATCCCATTTCCAATTACTCGATAACGCGAAAACAATGGCTTTAATGGCCGAATGCCATTTTAACGACTAGCGGTGAAGATCCTTTCCTCGTACTCTTCAACAAATACCGAGTGTCGTTTAGGCAAGATCCAGTCACCTTTTGAAAAACAGAGTAACTTTTTCAGCCTCAGTTAAATTCATTCAAATTAACTTTCATCTATACATGCAGACAAACCCTTCCGTGCACCACTGAAGTACTACTTAATGTAAGTACGGTGTTGCAATTGTTTGCTTGTCAATATTTCAGTGGAATTGATTACCTTTTTGGTTTTGCTTTTCAAGTGCATGAATTTCGATCTTTAACACTCGTGGGATTATGTCTGACTATGTTATGTTTCTCCTCATTCCTCAGGTTTCAGTTGCTGATGAGCGAATGTTAGACATGCATGGCCCTTTAACGAGTACCATGGAAATAGAAATGCTGTGTAGGAAGGTATTAAAACGGATACAGTACAGTACCTACAAAATACTCCTTCCAACAAGCGTGTCTCTCTCGCAATTAAACGCCCTTAATCCCTTAGTTTTTGAGATGCTGAAGCAACCCCCAGTAGTGCTATGACCCAAGGGATCCTGGTACCCCCAAGGAACCCCCCCCAAAAAAAGAAGCATCCCGTCCCGTCCCGTTCCGAATGAGCAGGGGATCTGCAAAATACAACCAGTCTCTCTAGGCTCGAGTTACCAAGGTGAGGGGGATGAAGTCGACGAAACGAGTATCGAATTTTTTTGGTAACTGTTTTTTTTGGGTTGTTATTTGTCTTGGTGGGAGGGGGGAGTTTAAAACTTAAGTGAGGCTGATGGAGTTGTTGGGTATCAAACGAATTGTATATCCAGTGATATATCATAGCTAGCTTCCCAATTCTTATTCCTTTATTGATAAAAGGCTAAGGAAAAAACTAATACAATGACACAGATTTGTAAAATCAGGGGGAAACGTAAGTAGTGACAATGAACAAAATTAACTGCATGGCTGTGATAACATATTCATAACACTTCATTTAACGACGGAGGTGGGAGCATTTCACAGTTTTAGCGTTTCAGGAAATAGCTAATTTTTCGTGTAATAAATATCAAACTAAGAAACGAAAGATGCTAGGCATCAACAGCGAATACATATCATCTTAACTGTTTTGAAAAATGTAAAATTCTTTTGAAATGAAAATAAAATGGTTTACTGTAAACTATTTTCATATACATGTAATAAGAGAGGATGTTTCATCCTTTTCTACAATAATCGAATTTCTGGTCGCACTTATGAGACAATGAAATTAATTACTGAATATTCATAGAACAAGAGAGAAGGAATCATTGGGAAAAGGGCATACAACAATTTTAAACTAAGTAAATCGAACAATCTAAATGATTTTGCCTTGTTTAACTCTAAGTGTATGTCTGCACGGTGGTGCTGTAATCTCGGCAATCAGTTAAAATTTCACTGAGTCTATTTATCATCTCTCAGAAAAATTTGCAGAGCTCGGATCTTAGCTAGTTACTGTCATTACTCAGTTGACAGTTAAAGTTTTTACCAATTCAGTCTCGGCTAAATGAAATATTAATAAATACATTTTTTCACCAAACAGTTTGCCTGAAAACCGCTTTCAAATACAGGCATAGAAACATGGCTGTTACATTTTTGCTGCGTTAAGGCTGTCCGATTTTAGCTCTAAAAGCGTTTGCCGAGGACTCGGGCAAATGTGCGCTGTTCTCGAGCGCTGTCTGTTACTAGGCATACTCCTTTTCGTCTTCCTCTACATTGGTTTTTTGCTTCACAGTCCTCCTGTCTTCCCGGTCGGTTCTTCTTACTTCTTCTAAACTGGAGAGGTCTGTCGTTTAACGGCTGTATTGGTGGTAGTTTTGTTTCTCTCATATTCAATTCTTTGTGGCTACCTTGAGGCGAGTTGGCCTCATTTCGCTGCATGTATACATACAAGCTGCTGGTTCCACGGCATGTCTGGCGCCTCTCAATATTCTCTAGATCTTGGCAATGTCGTGAATAGCCTCGCGGAGCGTTCGCTCGGAGGCGCAGTAGATACTCCAAACTATTTGTGACATGGCGGAACGGATCATGGTGGTAGCGAGGACGGCTTTGCCTGTTCGCTTGACTATGTGAATAGCCCTGAGTATCCGCTTGGTTCTGGAAGTAGCCTTGACGCTGTTCGCTAACTACCCTTAGTGGAAAGCTTTTAGTGTTTTCCAGAACTCGATGCCTTATTTTCCTGAAACTTTCTCGTTCTTCTCTCTGTCGTTGACTTTTCAGTTCATCGTAGAATCTGGCGGCCTGAGGATTATTTGCCGAAACGTATCCATTTCGTACCTGGAACTGGCCGGCTAGGGTGTCACAATCCTCCTCCGAAGAACTCTCTGTATCAGAATCATAGCTGTCATGAAACACCAGACTCGAAAGAGTTTCAGCAGTGGAAAATCGCAGTTCGTTTCTGTTTCCAACATAGGGAAAGAACTTTTGCCTCATCTCCGGTGAAACGTTTGATTCGTAAACCTCAGCGGGATAGGCCTGTCCAGAGCGCAATCTCCTGAAAGCAGGGCCCTTTTTCGATTCTAAACAGTCTCTCAGGTTGGAAGTGACCTCTTGATCTCTCCTCTTGTTGTGTCGATGACACAGCTCAAGTACTGATGGTGTTTCTCTTCGAACATTCATCTTCAACGCTAAATGTTCATTACTGTCTAACTGTACGTGCTTGCAGATTTACTGATAAAAAATAAAGAACGATGTCTTGCTAATTACATTCTCATCTGACGTAAAACCATGTAATTAGGCTCAATTGGGAAAATAATGTCGGCGTTCTTTGTGATGTACCGCCAGAGAAGATCACTATTTCCTAGAATGGAACGATTTATTACTTTCTTGTGGTTCTGAAAATGATGAAAATTTTCTGCTTTTAATTGCACATTGCGAGGTTTGTTAAGGTCATAGATAAAAAAAAAACCTCCCGAACTAGACTAATAGGTGATGTTATTTTGCCGTGTGTCATCAGATCTCTGACATAAAAGAACTGTATGGTAATTAGGAGGAGTTTTTGGGACCTCCCTCTTCCCCCCTCCCCCCGACCCCCACAAATTTTCCTCCCACTAATCGTCCCGCGCTATACGGCAAACGCCTTTATAATTTAAGCGACTACAGGAGCCATTTTAAAATGGGCTCCGGGCAAATCAGTCTATTGTTTTTCTTCAAAACAAAGTCCCTGTGAAGGAGAGTCTTCAATTGGAGACAAAAGGAGAAAGGATTTAGTTGCTGGGTTGCTTTGTGGCACACAAGTCAACATATGACAGAAGAAGGCAAGGATAAAAATCCCCCAAATCGGTCGGTTCGGAATTCATATCCATTTCGTGCCACAGGACCCTAGATGTCTGACGCCCTGTGACCAAGCTGTTGTTCGCTGTCATCGTGACTAAGACTGCGCGGTTACTTAGCGGGAGGCAAAGAACAACTTTAGGGAGTATTCGAATTTTGCGGCTCGTAGATCTGAGATGTTGGGCTGGGCAATAGCGTTGCCAATAGTTGGAACTTACATTATTACTTCTGTGGTTCTCTTAAACTTCCCATGGCTAGTACATAAGAAGAAAAAGCTGAAGTTTCGTTGTCGACACATCAGCCACAGAGGAGGCAAGTAACAGGCTAATTTAAACTTGTTTTTAACTTTAAGTTTAAGTCCTTGTTCAAGCTTATTACAATTAAGCTTAATGGTTGGACGGGTCTTTGATCACGACCAATAAGTAGAAATAATAGGAGATGCTATGAACTTTATGTTTTTGATAATTTCTGATAATTTGCCTTGATCTTCCACTACCATGAAAAGATGTTGCCAGCAGGTACCTTTTCTTGACCCAGAAAAGGTGACCAAAAATTGCAAAAATAATTGTGAGCTACTAACTCAATGTATTTTCCTAGTTTCTTGGACAACATTTTCCAAGAGACTAGAAGATATTATGGGCCATTGACATATTTACTTGTTCCCTGCATTACATCAACTAAACATTTAGGTCAGACCCCCACCCCCCCCCCCAACTTCACATGGAATTTTGCTGTCCCAAGAGTCACTGCATTCCAGTCGCTAATGTGGGCGTTACTGACATTTATGATATGGCTGTGTCTCACAAGGACTGGGAACTACCAAATTCACGAATTTGATTGGCTGAAATTGATAGTGAAAGCAGTCTAGATTTTCCCATCTAGACCGGCATCTAGATTGGTTACATTTTGCGGAGAAAAAGTTGCAAACTAAAATGCAAAACTTTTGACTATTTTCTTCCGCAATATTTATTTATGGAGGTGCCAAAAAGCCTGATGAGAAAAAAGTAAAGACGACGAGCAAACTTTGGCAGAATTATTTCAAGTTCAGTTCATCGCTGTTTGCAAGCAAACTGTCAGCTAGTACAAACCAGTTACATTAAACGAATTAGTTTTTCTTGTTTGCCATATAATAAACATCTTATTAACCAAGCTTAGTCGGTCTGTATGGGAGAATCTTGACCTTGGTCGTTTGTACAGATCTCGGTCAAGATTCCCTCATACAGACCTCCTGCCCGGTTAATAAGAGCTAAGCGAAGATGTCAACATGATCTACAAAGCTTTCTCCTATCTGTTCTATGGAAGCATCCAGATGTCTTCTGTGTTCTATTTACAGTTTTGATTTCCAGTGAAAGTAATTCAGTAAGAGAGAACCAGAATCATCGGTAGAAGGCTTCAAAAGGGGGCCATATTTTGCAACACTTTTACCTGCTGGCCTTTGCCTGCCTACTTCACAAATGTGTTACTCTTTCTCTAATGTTGAGTGTTTCAACTGTGGTGCAATCTCTCATCCAAGTGAAAACTACATGTATCTGTTTTTGGTGTTTGCTGTTTGCAACATAAAGTACTAAACTTTATTAAAATAGAGTACTTTGCTTTTAATCAAATACCCCCTGCACTGACATCCAAAAATGGACTTGTCTTACCCTCTCCCACCCTAAACATCTAGTTGATAACAATTCGGGAACAAGTGAATGTGTCGACAGCCCCTCAATCTGCATCTTAATCAAAGTGCAGTCGATGTGAAGTTTATGCTGAACATATGCCAAATCAGGATTATTCCCAAAAAAAGCAAACATGTTGTGTAAACATGTTCAGAGTAGCCTGCACAAAATGCATCCTGGCTGTAATCTAGTCGAGACACTCCCATACAACCCAGGAGAGTTGAAAAGTGTACATGTATATAACATGCCCAGGCTCCGAGCTCAATCTCAGACCTCTAGAATTCCAATACACCAACAGCAATTAACCCACCAGCCCTAACACTATCTCCCTTATTATAGATTACTAGGTTGATGGACAACTTAAGTAATCATTTTTGTATCCCTCTTTGTCTGTTTATTTCAGGAGCTGCTGAAAATTTAGAAAACACAATGACAGCTTATCATCAGTAAGAAATATCTTGCGGCACATTATGTATAAAGCAACATTTTTCTCTCCAACAGTTCTGTATCTCAGTATACTGTTGGCCTGGGAGGGGGGTACTCCCTATAATGGCCTTTATAGGAAGGCTCGTCCTGAAAGGGAACCTTTTTCAGGCTTCAGGTATTTCACAAGTTGATGTATATGAAAGGGTAGGGAAATCTGTCATTTAGTTATTTAAAGGAGCCTTTAATCAAAATATTTTGCACAGATACCTTTTGGCTGTATCTGGTAATGTGTGATGTTCTCCCATAAAATTGTTCGTTAACTTCAGGAAAGGATGCAGTGTTCTTAAGTAGATATGTGGAAGGGATACCTTTTTTCAATAAAAGGTATACAAAAAGGGGTAACTTTTTTGTCTAAATGGTTTGCAAAAGGGTAAGGGATTGGACCCCGGGGCAGAGCCTCCATGTATAAAACTTTGTAGAGTACTGTGCCCCCCAACTCAGGATTGTTGGTGTCTAAACTGTAACTGTTATATATAATATTGCATTTTTCATCCTATAGTGCATTAAATATGGGAACAGAAATGCTTGAACTAGATGTCCGCTTGACAGCCGATAAACAGGTACTAGCAGGCACTGATTTAAAGGGACACTATCACCATTTTGAGCGTGATTTTGGAAATCTCAAAAACATGTATCTATCTTTGGAAGCTGAACAATTAAATGGTTTTATTTTTTAAAGAAAATCCTTTGATGAGCTGAAGCAGCAATGTTGTCAGTCCCTATTCATTGCACAATAAGCTTATTTAAAAGACTCAGCTTTCAGGGTCATTCATAGGTTAACTTGCTCAATTCAGACCTTATTACGTTCTCTGGAGAATTTGTCCTCTACCAATTTAGAAATTGTCTTTCCTTTGGTAATCTGTATATTTATTTCCAGATGTATACATGTTTGTCATTGTGTACGCAGGTTGTTGTGTGTCATGATGACGACCTTTCCCGTGTTACAGACACAGAATACAATATTTCTGATTTCAATTACAAGGTATATCATCTTTCACAAATCTTGACGTATAATTAAATTGCTAAATTTATACATTTTAGCTATTTACTGACACGATCATGTTATCTCAAAATGATCAATTTGAAGAGATACATGTATATTTTGCTAATATCATGAAAAGTAAATAATTATTAAAAGCAATTCTGTCAATTATCTTTATTAACTGTTTATAAATAAAATAAATTCATTGACCTCAGTATATATTATTAAGTTTATGAGGTAAATTAATCAAAGAACATGATCAAAACTGATGAGGTACTTTTAGAGCCATTATTTATGACCAATATTAATAGCAAAAATTTCCTCTTTTAGGATCTGCCACCTCTAATGAAAAGGCTCAATGTTCAGTTTCAGCCAGGTAATTGCACAATTTATTCTGACTATTAGACTGCAAAAAGTATAAATTTAAGTTAAACATATGTGCTTACTAGCTGTTATGAGTTGCTCTGAGCTTCAATTTTTTATTCCAATAGGTGTTACATGTGATGTAAAGAATGACGACTGTCGTATTCCATTACTAGAAAGTGTTTTTGAAGCATTTCCTAATATTCCTATAAATGTAGACATAAAAACCAACTCTGATGTGCTTATAGACAAGGTAAGTGGTATAATTGTAAATGTGTAGTTTTAACAGTTCCTGTTGTGGTGCACATCCAATTTTTATTTGAGAACTCATGTGCTTTCTTTCTTTCTCTCTTGCTAGACACATGAACTTATCTGCAAGTACAACAGAAAGGATTTAACAGTGTGGGGGAACTTTTCAAAAGAAGTTACTGACAAGTGTTACAAGAAGGTTAGCTTGACAGCGATCTACAAAGTTAATCATCTGAGCTCTTAAAATGATTATTGCTAAAATGCTGGAAACTGCTTATTACATGTACATGATGTATGTCTGGGGATCAGCCTCCAGTAGAACATGCAATTTTCTTTTCCAAAATCAGTCAAAAACTTTTAAAAGTCAAATGGACATTGTATAATTGTCTCAGGCAATGACAGTGCTGCATGTACTGGTTCTTACTGGTTCTTTTTCTTGTAGGATCCAGAAATCCCAATAATGTTTTCAATGAAGCGTTGTGCTGCACTTGTGTTGCTGTTTTATACTGGTCTACTGCCATTTATTCCCATCAAGGAGTCATTCCTGGAGATCATGTTACCAGTCACAATGATTAGGTAAAGATGTTACCATATAATTGAGTTCAAACATTATTCTTTAAATAACATGAATAAGTAATAAATATTAATGGTTAGAAGCCCGGACGTGCAGACAAGGGATCTTTCTAAATGTAACAATAATAATAAATATAATAATA